ATATACACTATTTTTGACCATGTTCTACAATGTCCCGCCTCTGTGCTTCTGTTTCTATTATTTCTGTCCTGTGGGATGCCCTCCGCCCCCACCCCTTAGTCCCCATCAAAACACTAGCCATAGGCCGGGCGCGGTGGCTCACGCCTGTAATCCTAGGTTTCTGGGAGGCCGAGGCTGGAGGATTGTTTGAGCTCAGGAGTTCGAAACCAGCCTGAGCAAGAGCGAGACCCCGTCTCTACTAAAATCAGAAAGAAATTAATTGGACAACTAAAAATATATAGAAAAAAAAAATTAGCCGGGCATGGTGGCGTATGCCTGTAGTCCCAGCTACTCGAGAGGCTGAGGCAGGAGGATCGCTTGAGCCCAGGAGTTTGAGGTTGCTGTGAGCTAGGCTGACGCCACGGCACTCTAGCCCAGGCAAAAGAGTGAGACTCTGTCTCAAAAAAAAAAAAAAAAACGAAAACACCAGCCATCCCACAAGGCGGAGGTCACTGAGAGCTCTCCCTGCCACAACTCCCCTTTCTTTGCCCAGCTCCAAATGCTTCTGTCTTTGCATTCACGGGCTTCTACTGCACAAACATCTGTTACAGTGCCTCTCATTCCCATCTGTATTAGATCAAACAGAACTGTGCCTATCATCCCAAATGTAAGGAGACTGTAAGATCCCTAAGAGTGTAGCCTCATGCCTTATTTTTATAGTTCCTTCTCTTTCTAGAAAGTATAAGAATGCTCAATAAAGGTTTGAGATTTAGGGGAAAAATGAGGTAAAATAAAGAAGAAAGAATAAAAGAAGCACATGAAATAAAATGTAACTATCCTTTACTGAACACTTAAAGCTCCTCCTAGCTACTCTCACACACACTCACCTCCTGCTTGATGGATCTGACGGACAGGTGGTCAAACATCCACCCACGCTGCAACTCTGCCTTTGTGCGCTGTGGACGTTTTCCCTACAGTTAGAAGTGAGGAAAAGAAAGGAAAAGATAGATTACGGTGTTCTCAGCTGCTGCCGCCGCCGCTGCTGCCTCCGCCAGTAAAAGAGTGGCCATCAAGGTGCACAGGAAATGGCTTTAACTAAGAGGGAGGGCCAAAGTACACTCAGGACAATCAGGGAAAATGACCACTCAGCTGTGCAAGGTACTAAGCCAGTTTATTCTCATAAAACAACAAAAACAAAAAAACTTACAGACAACCAAGTGTCTCCTCTGGTAAGAAACTCCCTTCACTGTTTAATCATTTAAAAAAATATTTTTTCCCCTAATTATTAAGGGAAAGCCAGCTTTTATCACCTTCAGCTGAAGGGAATGCCTCTAGTTAAGGGACTTACAAGCAGCTGAGGGTGGACCTCCCCTTCACAAGGCAGTTCAGCGGCAGCAGGGAGAAGTGAGAGCAGCTGCCCAGGCTGGGAACAAAAGCCAGTAAGCAGGAGTGAGAAAAAGACTAGCGGTTAGGAGTCAGAGAGCGCACCTGGAAATATCAGAGCTCTGCGAAAATGCAACAGGCTTGCAAGTAATCACTGTAGGAAATTTCAAAGAAGGAGTTCTGAGATCTAAACTAGGTAATTATTTTGAAGGCCAAGGTTTATTAGCATATCTAAGTTCTGAATGAGAACTCGTTTGTGGAATGAGCTCCATAACTTCACCAATTGAAACCTAATATTAAAAGGGGGTAAGCAAGAGGCTTCACTTTAAGACAATGTAACTTCACTGACTTTAGCATCAAAAACAAGCATTTTCCAGACTTGGCTTTTTCGACGCTTGATCCAAACTCTTGACTTCTTGAAGAATCAATGAGGTAAGGAATCAAAGGACAGAAAATGGTAAGAGGTGGTTTACAAAACAAACATATTGCAAAGCCATGGGGGTGGCCTCAATGGGTCAGCAGCTTTAGAAAACATTTCTAAGAGAAAGAACGACTGCTTCCCAGTGCAGACGCAATGCCAGTTATCAAAGGGTGGCACGACCTTCTGTAAGTACTTTCCCCCAAAAGCTACCCTAGAAGTTTCCTCAAATAAGCCTGTAAGTAAGCAACTTTTTCATAAGCTTCAAGACCCTAATTGGAAGATAATCTCAACTTTAAATAAACATAAAAACTTACCATGGAACTGTCTTCCAAAGGGATTACACCAGTTACCGTGACAATAGCAAAAGACAACAAAATTTCCACTTCAACTTTGCCAGATGAGATGACAGTGACTCTAGAGGAACGTGCTACTCAACACAGGCCGAAAGTGCTTCCTGCCACACTTTACTACCACCTCCTGTGGAAACTATCTACCCTTCGTCAGCTTATTTGTTAAGGACCTAATGTTTATAAAGCTTTCTATTACTTTCTGTAACACCAGCTACAAACACTTCTAGCAGTCTACACCCCCACTTAAAAAAAAAACAACCAAAAAATGTTACTTAACAAAACTTTTATATGGTCACAGTAGGCCTTACCTTCTGATTTCTTTTATTATTTCAAAGCTTAGAGGGCTATCATATCTTCAAAGACGCAGCAAATCTTTTGACTTTCTTCTTGCATTTATTTTGCTAAGAAATGTGGATTTAGTTTTCTATGAAGATTCCTCATCGCATAGATGATGGAAGAGGACCAACCGAGTGTCTATTGAGTGCTAAAGACTCTATGTACACTGACATGGGTTCTTTTAATCCCCACAAAAACATGTTTGAAGTGACAGCATTTCATTTTACTAATAAGAAAATTGAAACTGAGGGGTATCAAGATATAATAACTTATTTGAGGGATGGCTACGACAGGGTGGCACCCTAATTCAAGTTAAATTTCAAAGAAAAGCCTCCTGACTTTTCCACTTTTCCACCCTTTTTCCACTGCCCAGTTACTTGTGCCTCCATCACATCCCATATTTAGTATGTCCTGGTGTTCATTTGTGAGAATAATATTCTTTTCTACTAATCTATGTTTGAATTGTAGGCCTTTTTCATTATTAGAACAAAATCTCTCTTGGTTGATGTGTTTAGGATGGGTAGTGTTAACAAAGATAAAAGAAGGAATTAAAAAAC